TATTATATTAATCGTGCATAAAGTTTTGTATGCATTGCTGGCATAACTGGTTTTTATGGTCCTACGACGCTTTTCTAGCCCTCGCGCTAACGCGCTCGGGCTCGAAATAGCGCCTCGGACCATAAAAACCTTATTATGCCCTTAATACATAAATAACTATTATGGCATCATTAAAAATCTGCTAAATTTATGCCTGTCTTTATTTTTATGTAAACTATATTATATTATAATCTGCATACATTTATATTTGGATTTATACTTTCATAAATTTTATTACGTATAATATAAACTCAACCAGACCTACAACATCACACTTTTAGAAACGATAAAATATTAATGCAAAATGGTTCTTTACGTCAAAATTGCAATTAACTTTCAAAAACCCGTTTTAAGAAAAAAAGTACAAGATTGTGACAAGAAATACGGATAAACTAAACAATCAATCCAAGTTCAAAGAGCACTTGACCAATGCTAGATTTGGTAGGGCAAAGAAATCGAGTGTTGCCCAACATATACTTGATACATATATTCTATAGAATAGGATTTGACAACCTTAAACTTATTAAGGAAGTTAGAGAATCAAGTCTGCTAGATAGTTATAAAAGTTTATGGGTGAATATTTTAAAACTGTCGATTTTCGGAACCATTTTTGTTAACACATGAAAAAATTACAAATCTAATTAATTTTGCACTTTTGGTCTTTTTTAGAAAGTTGAACCCACGGTTTTACTTGGCCATCTCTTATTCTTCTGCGTCTCTTACGTCCTGTTATTCTTTTAGCTTCGTTGGTCAACTTATTTCGTGGTTTTTATCATTTTAATTAATTTCCCACTGAAATTAAATATTTTAAATTGGTTACATGTAAGGGACACGACAATGACGAGCAGGGTAATGATGATTTTAAGGTTAGAGTGTTTTACAATGTTTATTCGAAAATGTAGTGGAATTTTCAAGTTACCATTTGCTTTTGGTTAATGCAAGACTTCTTTGTATTAATGTAAATATTTTGTATGTCCATAAACTTTAAAATAATACCTACCCCGACAATGACGGACTTAGACGTAACAAGCCGTTTTCGTTTTCATTCGGCGCACGTCACAACTTTATGGTTTGACATATGCTAGTGGACGTTAGACAGGCAGGATATTTCCATATCAGACGTTCGATAACTAACGGCATTTTCCGAATGTATCGCTTATTTAAATATGAACAAAGTTTAAACGACATTAAAAGAAAAGTTAACATTTTAAAATGCTATTTTCTTCGTATGTGTTAGACAGGATATTGCAAGATTTAATTTGTAAATAAATGTAAGAAAGTAATATGTTGTTGTTCTTCGAATGTGAACAAGGCACGGTAATGACGTTTGCTACACAAAAATTAAAATATATTTTTTATTATGCTCGTTTAGACTAAAATAAGTAAGTAATCAAGTAAAAATAGTTAATTAAACTAGACATCAAGTATTTTATTTTCACCCATAATAAAACAAGTGGTATGATTATAATAATATCATCGATGATATTTTCAAATATCTGCTTCGGTTTCAATGAGTTATTTTTAATTTGATTTGGCCAACTATTTTTATTTACTTATGTATAACTAGATAAAACACAAACACTGTTTTTTGAGTTTCACGAATTTACATTAATCTAATTTTGATAATTGTTTCGCTAACAGTAGCTTCTTCAGAAATTATTTCAAACTTTATTTAATAACAAACTTATATAACACAATTGCAGGTAATAGTTTTTTTATGAAAATATTTGTACAGTATAGTAATTTTACCTGACGAATTAAAATGTAACAAAAGTTGTAATTAAATAATTTTTGGGGGATTTTCTATCTTATGTAATATTAGAATAAATTTAACAAAGAGGAATTATTTGTTTCTATTTGATCATTAAGGATAATATCAATTTTTTTTAATTAATCATTTTATAAGCATAAAATAATTTTGACGCAAACTGCGCCTTATACCCAAGAACAAATTTAACTGCATAAGCTTAACAAATGTTCTTGGGATATTAATTTTAGGTCAAAAAAAATCAACAATGAGTAATATAATATTTTATTTTTATTTATGCAAAATGGAAAAATTTGTGAATCTCTGATTGTCTAATGAGTTTTCTAATTATAAAATTAATGGCAATTTCCAATTAAACCTGGATAATGGGTAAGCAAAGTAAGATTAAAACTTATGATGAAAATGATTATTTTGGATACTGCAGGATTATATTAAGATCTTGCAAGGTAGTGATTATATATATATATATATATATATATATATATATATATATATATATATATATATATAGGTCTTGCCAATTTAAAATTTAACTGCATTACACTTTTTAACATAAAAAATTCAATTTTTTAACAAAAAGCTAATATTAAGCCTTACACTGTTCAAAATTTCATGACCATTTTAACACCAAATTAACACCAAACATGGTCTATATCGATACAAACCAAAATGGTGTTAAATAAGGTTCATTGGTCCGGTGTAAATTCAAATACTAAAATGGTGTTAATTTAACTTTCACACAGTATTAAAATAATTTTTACTTGGTGTAAATTGAACTCCTTTTCAGTGTTAAATATTATGTGTTTGTGGACAAATTAAATCCTACTACACAGAAAAAAGGAAAAAAAAGTAAACAGGAAGTTCCTTGACGCATTACTAGTATATTACCAGAGGTATTATTCCAGAAAATGGAACCTTTAACTCGCTAGAGTTAATGTTTTTAGTGCGTTGCACTAACTTAAAATACTTCAAGTATTGACAGCTGTTTCCACCTATTTAAGGTCTCTTTAGTATCGAACAACTTGTAGTATCACACCAAAGCAAAGGATTACCTGAGTTTATATATTCTTCATGTAAGTCAACAGAGGCGAGATTTAAGAACATCACGTAATCTACACCGCCTTTGCCGCGATCGGTACACATTTTTAACCATAATTCATGGTGTTATATTAACACCACTTGGTGTTGGATTTTGACACCATTTTAAGATTACTTTTTGCACCACAGATATTTTAAACAGTGTAACCTAGATATTGTCATCAAGCAGAGCATATCTGTGATAAAATGATAATTTTAAACTGGAAACGAAAAACCTTTAGTAGTAGTTTAGTATATTTTGTGTTACTTTTTATTCGTTGGTATTTCTGACCTATTTTTTTACATTGGAAGTATTTAAAGGGTTAAATGCAAAAAGTGCCCAAGTCACATTTTCAATGAAATTTACATTGTGGTCCATCTAAGAGTGTTTCACGTAAGGTTTCAGGTGGTATTTTCAAAGTGGCAGAAATATGTGTCCAAGTGCCTTAGTTTGCATTTACTTCAATGGGAGTTTGCCTGGTTTTTAACTTACGTGAAAACTTTTATATGAAGCCACAATAACAATTTAATTGAAAATGTGACTTAGGCACTTCTTGCATTGACCCCTTCATTTCCATTATATAGTCAAAATTAGTCACATTAAAAATATTCTCAAATTGACGACCAAATATTTTTGTGTATGTATATTTTATAATCAAAAAGGATTTAAAATTGTTCCAAAGTAATTAACCTTTAAATGGATTAATCGACAAATCATTGTTAATATAATATTTTATTTTTACTAATGCAAAATGAAAACATACGTAAATTTTTTATTGTTTAATGAGTTTTCTGATTATAAAATTAAAATCAATTTCCAATCCAACCTGGATAACGGGTAAGCAAAGTAGGATTAAAACTTATGATAAACATGCTTATTTTGCAGGATTATGTTAAGATCTTACAAGATATTAATTTTTATAATATATTATATAAGTCTTGCCAATTTGAAATTTAATTCCACCTTCACTTTTTACATAAAATATTGAATTTTTTAACAAAACGCTAATATTAAGCCTAACTCTTAAGTACCATGGCTCAAAATTGTTACACTCATACCATGGCAGGGTCAAAATGGACCTTTTTTTTGTTATTTGCTTTTGATATTATTGAGTTTTAACATTTTATTCTATTTATACTTACCTTTTAATGTAGGTTTGGCAAAAAAAAACTAAAACATAAAAAGAAAGAAACCGCATATTTTCAAAAAAAAGTTTAAATAAGAAATAGGTCTTCTGGCTTCCCTAATTATAAATTTTCGTAACAATTATAATTGTTATAATTATAAACTATAGTTAATCTCTGTAACATAAAAATAAAAATTTATATTGACAAATAAAAAATGTTGAACATGTTTGTCCACCTATTTTTCTGCACATACTTCGCAGATTATAGTGGTTCTTTTATGATGATGATAAAAATTTTGCAAACAGTGCAAATGGTGCCTTCTTTTTTTTGTGAGTAAGGGCACATATAGCACCTCTTCCTCTGTGGCCTCTTTCTTTGTACTGGTGCTACTACAGCATCCGGTAAAGCTTGGATTTTAGGTGGGGCTTGAGCCTCATGTGCACTTTCAGGTGTCATAATTCTGTTCATGGCGCTGAGTAGTTCTCTGGGTAAGAAACGTTGTTGTGTTCTATGTACTAGATGTTCTTGAATTAGATCACGACCTAAAGTTGTTAAAAAGGCCCTCCTCTACATATCTGCGATAATGTAACTCTTATACCATGGCATGGTCAACTTGGACCCTAAATTAAGTTTTTGGAGAAACTGTGAAAGGTAAAAACAGTGCTTGATGTATGATATCGGTCGACTATTACTTAAATGTCAATTGATGGCATCTATAATTAAGTAGCAGAACAAGAGTAATAAATTTGTCCAAATGGACCCTGCCATGGTACTTAAGTATTTCCATTATGTAGTTAATGCAATCATAAAAACGTACTTGCTGAAAATTTGTCACATTGGAAATATTCTCAACTTGGCGACTAAATATTTTTATGCATTTATATTTCATCGTCAAAAAGGATTTAAAACTGTTCCAAAGTAATTAGTTTCCATTGTATCGATTCCTTTATTTCAATTTTTGTAGACACATTATTTAACCTTTGAATAGATTAATCGACAATAAATTGTGCTGGCAAGCTATAGTCAAGGAATCGACTTTACAAAGGCGAATTCCCAAAGGCGAAGACGTCGTATCGGATGGGGATGGGGGTGGAGGTCCTTTCGCGACGGTCCCTCTCTTGCATCTCGGCCTTTGGTAAATGCTTGCACCGAGAACCGGGTCAAGTGCAGCCAGCATAGATTATGCAAGAAGCGCGACGCTGCGGCTCGCGAAGATCCTCTAGGCTTCTTTTCAATTACTTGATGCAGGACAGGATTAAGAACCCGGAATTGCTGACATTTTTCACATTTTGGATAGGTCTACAGCCAAGTTTTTGTTGTTTTGAAAATTCATTAGAAATCATTGGAAAAAATAAAAAATAAATAGTTGCTTTTATACTTAATTCATAAATGCGATATTTATTTGCCATTTAATTATATAGACTGTATAGAATCAAGTAAGTAAGGCTGGAGACAAGGATGACAAATTATATTCTGATCAGAGAAAAAGAAATAAACTTTAATTGGGCGTGGTTTAAACCAAGCCATTCGTAATTACTAGGGATGGGATTTTAGTTATTTTTTTCAACCGATGTAACTATTTTAAAACCAATAATGCCAAAATGTGTTTTAAAATATTTTCTTTTATATACCTAAACCTAACTTGTTTTCACCTTTTTACCTTTTTTGGAGGTTTTTGCTTTAAACCACCTTTTTTATACTTTTGTTACCTATAGGTATATATATTTTTTAACTTGTTTTCACCTTTTTTGGAGGTTTTCGCTTTAAACTACCTTTTTATACTTTTGTTACATATTTTTTAATTTGTCAGTTTATTTTCACCTATTTGTTACCTATTTTTAAGTATTTTTAATTATTTTATTTTTATGTGTTCTTTTTAAATTTTTCGCCAATATTTTATCCAGGGCGTGCAACTCAACGGTATAGATTTTTTCTTATGGTCACAGACTGTAACAGTAACTTTCTTTGCAGTTACCTTCTTTGTAGTGAGCTTATTTTCTGTCATAGAACTTCTGTGTAGTAAGTGTAACTCAGTGAAACACAGTTTATTGCATAGAAATAGTTTATTGTGGGTATGTTCTGTGTTTGGGTATGCGGCTACACAAAATTATAAAAAATGCCCAAAACCAAAGAAAATCCTCTAAAAAAACTCAGCAGTTGGATAGAGGGGACGAAAAAGATTTTGCTGTAAAATTGTAAGGACTTTGAGGTTATCTTAAAACATCTTTCTTTAATTTATATACATTTTAGCTATCTGTTTGGTACTCTAGTAGTAAATTTGGTTAATATCAGGTATTCCCTGTTATATTTTCAGTTCCTTATAGCTTTAATTAACTCAGTTTATAAAAATAATATTTTATGTTACTTATTTTATAAAAATAAACAAAACTTGAACTTGTAATGTTTTTTTTTACCTAAAATGCTGTTTTTTTAACCTAAAATGCTTTTTTTAGTACCTTTTTAGTTACCTATTTTTCAGTTTTTAGTACCTAAATATCCCATCTCTAGTAATTACGAACCATAGTTGCCAGGTTGTTTTAAATCAGAAGAGAACTATTATAATTATTTAATAAATAGTTAAATTTTATTTGTTTGAAACTTTAAAAATAACAGAAAAATTAATAATAATATGTCAAAAATAATTTGATTTAGTTAATTTTCTTACTTTTAATATTAAAAAATAAGAAAAACAAGTTGGTGGAACGCATTCAAAACAAAAAACTTTGGCGAGGTGTAGGTTCATTTTTTTCTTAAAAACAACCCTTTTAGGAAACAATAATAGCATATGGCAACAGCGCGGCATGCAGCCATATACAAGGTCATGCAGTTTGATCTACTGTGTTCAGTAGCTCCGACGCTGTCGTAGGGAAATGTGTATAGTTTTTAAGAAATTCATTTTCGCCATTAACTGGAATTTAATGGATTTTAAACAATACTTAGTTTTTATTTGCAGAAATGCATTAAAACAAAACAAACGAATTCTATAAATTCTCAAACAAAGATAATTCTAAAATATCGAAAATAACTTTTTTTCTAAATTAAATGTTCAAATAGACCACCAGCAGCAGTTAAACAATACCCTAGCCTATCATAAAATGATACGGCAAGCAAACAAATTCAATCCCTACCACAGTGGGCAGGGTTTGGCACTTGTTTTATTTAAGTGTATCTATTCGTTTTAATACAAACTGTATAATTATTTTTTATTTTAATTTAAACAACACTATCTACTAGGGTGTGCCAAAAAAGTCGATATTTTTTTCACCTTCAGCCCAAAATATCATAGGCTATGCCCAAACAAAAATCCTGTCAATTTTTCCCATTTAAATACCATAGAACAAACAATTAAATGGCAATTTTGTAGTTCGTTCACTAAATTTTTTGTTCTATCATAGATAGTTCAATTGGTAAAAGCAAAAAATTAGAAAAACGCAACTTTGTGAGTCTAAAACTTTGTTGCTATTAATGATACAGAAAATCTCCAATAGTTTAGCTGCAAAATGCATAAAACGCGAAATAAAAAAAAATCAAATTTTAGGCACCCGTAGAAACTTAAATATTGACGATTGACATTTTTTGTCAAAAATTTAATGCGAATGATCTTTTCATTCATTTTATCTAAAAAAATGATTAGGTGACACCCTGTATATTGAAACACAAAAGGTGAATTAAAAAACGTAAAAAATAGCGACCACATTGCGAGTTGTTGATAGTTTGTTTCTATGGTAACGCTTTGTGCTTTTTACAATGGCAGTGATAGTTCTATATGCAGTGTTATTTAAAATCTAAAAATGTTGTGAAAACGAATAAAGTATACCACAAAGAAAAAATATTAAAATATATATGGCAACAAAAAATAAAGCAACAGAAAACTTGCAGTTTGTTGAATGCAGCAAAAGTCTAAAGAGAAGAGCAGAAAACAAAAAGATGAAAACCATGGAAGGATTGTCTAATTATTAAAAAACAAAAAACTTTTAATAAATAACATAATAAAATTGTGTTTAAAAACAAAATAATGGTATCAAACCAAATATACTATAGTAGTTAATCATGTGTTGGTAATACAGTATTCTAGACGAGAATGACAGATTGATAAGTTTGGTAGGACACAGTCAACATTATCGGAATATTTCAATTCTAGTTATTATTTGCAAGTTGTATTCTTACATTATTATAATTTTAGTATTCAGTGCCAGTTTAATTTCCAGTCAGAGAAAGCAAAGTTAATGACATAACTAATATGCAGGAAAGAGATAAGTAAAGAGTAGTAATGTTTTGGCTAGTGGCTTCCACGTTATAGTAACGTCACCACAACGTGGTATAAACGTGTAGAAACCAAAAATGTTGCTGGAACGCAACTGACACTAAAAAAGTGTTCCACATTTATTCTACCACGTGGCAGAGATTTTAGCTATACATTTTTAAGTTTCATGTATAAGTGGCCATTACGTTTCATCCACTAAAAATGCTACTTGAGTCAGCATTGTTGTTATATCTAAAGAAACAAGAAATATTCAAAATACAAATATCTTAAAGCGATTCTAAAAATCATAAGACTTAATGGAAATGTGGAGGGAAAATGAAATAGATACATAGACCAATATTTGGATTATGGAAATACCACTTAGAAATAAAGGGACAAAACAAGATGATGCTAACAAACTACAGTGGATTAATATATTTATCTACTCCTATTTCATAATATTGGTTTTTTTCCGTGATGATAAACATTATAAATTCACTGCCTAACAACGGGAATAATGAACTCAGGCAAAAGTGATTGGCCGATTTCCACGTTACAGTAACGTCACCACAACGTGGTATAAACGTGTAGAAACCAAAAATGTTGCTGGAACGCAACTGACACTAAAAAAGTGTTCCACATTTATTCTACCACGTGGCAGAGATTTTAGCTATACATTTTTAAGTTTTATGTATAAGTGGCCATTACGTTTCATCCACTAAAAATGCTACTTGAGTCAGCATTGTTGTTATATCTAAAGAAACAAGAAATATTCAAAATACAAATATCTTAAAGCGATTCTAAAAATCATAAGACTTAATGGAAATGTGGAGGGAAAATAAAATAGATACATAGATCAATATTTGGATTATGGAAATACCACTTAAAAATAAAGGGACAAAACAAGATGATGCTAACAAACTACAGTGGATTAATATATTTATCTACTCCTATTTCATAATATTGTTTTTTTTTCGTGATGATAAACATTATAAATTCACTGCCTAACAACGGGAATAATGAATTCAGGCATATGTGATTGGCCGATTTCAATTTTCACTTTGATTTAAACCATGTTTTAATTTGGGATAAGGCGACTATAATAACATTGACAAATATCAGATTTTATTTATTTTTATTTGAAAATTAATTATCTACTTATTGGAGTAAATAAAGTATAGTATTAAACACGAGATTATGCGCATTATTCACTTGGATGAGTCTGGCGACTCGAATAGTACCCTCCTATAATAATATACTAATTTCACAACTAAAAAATATTGCCACAAAATTCTGAATTCCCAATTCTAAATCCGTCTCTGTGCTTTCCACTTGTTCTGAGTAGTGTGTTTTGTCGATTCGAGTATTATCATCTTTATTCATTATCATGTATGTGTTTGCTTGCATTAAAAAATGAATACGTAAATCCACTTGCCAGACGTGTGTCTTAATATTCGAGAACTTTTCTACTTGACATAGATTTTCGAAGCTGAAACTATGAAAATAGCACGGATAAGGGTTAAGTATCATCAGTGCAAGCAAGATTTATTTCTTTGCATGCGATGAGTTCATCCTTACAAGGATATGTGATCCTTGCTTTTGATTGATTAATGTATTCAAGAAAAAATTAGTTATGCAACTTCATTGCACTTTGCACAATATTTTTCCAATTAAACTGTCAAATTCAGATATAATTTTTGATATGATTAACTAGGTTCGTTATAATAAGAAAACATTATTCCAATCATTCTTTTTTCCTGACCATTACGTGCACTTTATTAATTTAATTTATTATTATCGAAAACTGTCTAAATCTAATCATTTATCACGATTTCCTTTATTACTTTAACATTTTTGCTTTATTTTGTAGATATCGATATAATTTATCACAAAAAT